TTCAAATGAGCTGGTATGCTCAATTGGAGGAACGGTTCAGTGAGTATTGTTACAAAGTTTAGTTGTAACTCTACCACCTCCAGATCAGGGAATGCTTCCCGTGGGCCAGTGGCTCCCAGAATAGCCAACTGAAATCCCCAAATAGTTGAAATTTTGGTCTTGTTTTATTTTCATATCTAACACAGGGCGATGGCGGGGCAGGGAGGGGTCATGCTACTTAACTGCTTCTCTATGGAAAAAGAAAATCCGTCACTGTTTCCTATATTAGAGAAGCTGGTGTGTATAAAGTCTGAGATGCAGTAACCTTGAGATGTTGGTTCAGGCAGCCTGGACAGAACTGAGCTTGAGTTCAAGAAACAGAAGAAAGGAAGTCAGTCCCATTCCCAAACAGTACTGTAAAGAGATGTCTCTGTGGAAATGGAGACCTGTGACTGAGGGGCCCCCTTGTATCCTCTTGTTCAGATCTTAAAGGCTCAGAACCTGAAGGCTCAGAACCTGTTGCTTTAGCCCAGAAAGCTCTGCCCCTAAGTAGCCAGCAAGGCTCACTCTGCCACTTCCTTTTTCCTTCATTCTTGGGGAAGCCAACCACGTGTTGGGAGAATATGCAAACAGGCTCCTGGAGAGACTCTGTGGACAGAAACCACATCGTCAGCACTAACTTGTTTGTTAACTGACCAAGGCAGTTTGAAAGGCCATCAGATAACCTCTGGCCTCCAAGTCACCTGAGGTCCCAAACATCACAGATCCAAACCTTTCCATTGAGCCCTGACCTGTGAGAGATTATAAATGATTACAAGGTTGTGTTAAGTCAACACATTTTGGGGACTATTTGTTAGGTAGAAAAAAAAAGGACCAACTTGCAATCTCTTTGCCATCTGTCCTTGCAGAGTTTCATGCAACTTCTGGTTCTTAGTTTACCTGATGTCTGCATTGTAAATAATGACAATAATTTCAATAACAGTACTAAACCACTTGCCTGTTGACACAGAAAACTTTGGATCTGATCTCTGCTGAAACCCAGATGCAGCTGTTGATTTTCCCCTGAGCTTGTTGGTGTTACCTATTAATCTAAGTAAACCTACAGCTAAAGGCATCTCTGCACATGTTTTAACACGAAAACTATGTGAAACAATGGCAAACACACCAACTCAGTGTGTCCTGAGATTTTACACAGCACCTTAAGTATGACAGGTAAGAGTGGGATTATCAGGCAATCTCTGAATGCGGAGCAGTGAGCCTATAGCAAGGGCACCCTGGTTCATCTGCTGCAAAGTCAGAGAGGCCCAGGGGATTCTGTTTTCATGGAAATCCTAGTTTCTGAAAGTGTGTCTTAGACGACCCGCTTCGTATTTCTTTCCCATCGTTGCATGAACAGTTGTAGTCCAGTGGTGTGAAGTCCATGTTTTTAAATGCCATAATAAACCAAGGAGCCACTTGTGTTCCAAAGGTGGCACACAGTAGGTAGCTTGTGTTGCATGGAGAAGATTCCTAGGGCTTTGTGTCTGCTGCCTTGGGACCCCAGGGAGTGCAAGGCGGTCTTGGGTCCACGTGCTTCAACGTCATTGATGCGTTAGGGTCCTACCATCAAGACCAGAGGACACTGTCTGGGCCATGTCATAAAACACTAAAACAAACAAACAAACAAAAAAAGCAAAACAAACAAAAAAACCAACCAACCAAACAAACAAACAAAAAACCAGATTGTCCAAGATGGAGTTTTCATTTTAAGAGCCAAAGAAAGGGGCTTCCTGATAAGCTGGACTAGATGGTGTGGTCTCCTGTGGCCTAAGAGATGGACAGTTGTTTGAAGCTAAGTCTAGATGATGACAGCGGGTCTCAGGTTGGATATTCTCTTTTTCATCAGTCACAATATTCCAGACACATGACAATGACTTTGGTGAGTGATTTAATTAAACTTCTCTTTTTTTAAAAAATCAAATGATTTCTGAATTTTGTGGATAAACCAGTCAATAATTTGCTTTTATCAGAATGGTAGAAAAATAACTTCCTAATTTTGTGTGTTTCTCCATGAAACGTGGCTTTCTCAAAATATTTCACAAAGATCCATTTACTTTTTGCAGCTCTGAGACTGGACTTTGAGAAAGACAAAAGTCGTAGAAATTGGGTATTAAGAAAATGAGGGTTTGGAGGGTGGGCGGTGTATAGCTCAGGTGAGTACATTGCCCTCCCATGCATGAGTCTGTGTACACAACGACAGTGGCCACAGCACTAGAAGCAACGATAGGACAACTGCTTTGAGTTATTTTACCAAAGGAACTTGAAACTTCTCTTAAAAGCAAAACAAGGACTAGGGTTGGGGGGAGACACCAAATGATAGCAATTCTTCCACAATTGTAGTGATAATCCCTCTATCTTTGAAAGGAGATCAATGGGCTAGTTAACCCAGAGAGAAAAAGCAGAAGTTACAGAGGAATTAACAGTCTGAGATTGGCCTTTTCTAGCCAGGAAGGCTGGAGTCTTGCTGGATTCTGACCAGAGATAGCAGTTGATCCCGGGGTTAATGACCCTGTGCTCTCATGGCTGCTCACATTCCTCAGTGTGCTAGCCTTGCTCTTCATGGCCCTGCATATGGGCTAGGGGTGAAGGGTCACAGGAGCGATGCTGTTTCTGGGAAAAAGCCACACAACTTCTCAATTGGTTGTGCTAAAGTAGCCATCTACCAAGGATGAAGACCTCATAGCTAGAGGCAAATGGTTGGATCCACATACTCTATGACCAGTAGAGCTGGAATGTGAATGAAGCCAAATAAGACCTAGTTAACGGCACCCACTCTGCCACTCTGCATTGGGTTCAGGGATGAGGGTCCAGGAGACAACGAATCCATTCAGGGCCCCTTTATCCTCCAGCTACACATGGGTCTAGTCATGCTGGTAATTTATGGCTTAGTGTCTTCTACACTTGTTGTTAAATATTAGTGTTTTAAATACTGTTTCTGTATAATTTAAATATTGTATCACTTCTTCCTGGAAGTCCCTTTACAGGGAAAATCAGAATTCTCAAAGATATAGATATAGTTAATTCCTAGGGTAATGACTACTGCTACATATTTGGGTCAGATTAAATATAGTTCTTTGGAATAAAATTGCCCTTTACTTTATTGCCAAGTAAAATGGGGCATATTGGTGAGAGGATTTCAGATCAATTTAATTGTCACAAACCAGATATTCTGTATACAATGTAAAAAGTTTACAATTTTGTGAAAAAAATCCATTGGACAGGCAATGGAGAAGCAGGAGTATCAGAACACCACCTAAGCCACTAACACACAAAAGTCTACTTCTACGGAGATTGTTTTTGTTGTTGTTGTTGTTGTTGTTGTTTTTTCATTACTATAGTTCCAGTGCACTGGGTAAGTGAAGATCATACAGTAAGTACTCAGTAGGCTTTGGCTGAAGAAATGCAAGTTCAGGCAGTTCTCCCATAAGAGTCTAAACACAAGCTCAGCAAAACCAGAGAGTCACGTTGAGGGTCCACTGGGGACTAAACCCCGGGCTGGACAAGCACTTCCGTGTCTCACTGTCCCACAGCTCTTGCTCCCAAACAGACACTTTTGCTGCTGTCATCGCTTTAAAACATGCAGCAAAAAGCTCTAATTAATAAACTCTTAAAAATTCAAATAAAAGTAAAAAGATGTGTAGAACTAAAGGACCGCATTAGAAGTCATGGTAATGGGTATTAGTGGGTGAGTGTTTGACTAAGAATGTGTGATGGGGATTTCTGGTGGGCTTGGACTGCTCTGTGCTGTGCCTGGGTATTGAATATACAAAGCATTATGATTTGATAAGCTATGTGCTCAGGACCCGCCAGTTTTGTGTATTTGTGTTACACATGAGCATATCTAGTGAAAAGGTAATGCCGATTTGCAATCATGTTTGTGTACCATTCAAAAATGTAAAAAAAAATTCACATCGCTAATTATTCCGCAGTGATTTTTCTGAACCTATGCACAATATGTAAATTATGAGCAATTTGTATTCTCGTTAGCACTTGCTATTCTCTAATTTTAATGATGAGAAGTAAATCAAAGTGAGTATTTTTCTCTCCAACTTGTTGTGTTGCAAAACTAACACAGAGGAGCTACAATCATTCATTAAATTTCCCAGCTTCTTAACTTTGCCCACATTTGATTCCTGTGTTCTTTCTGTCTCTGCGCCTCTTGCCTCTCGTTCTCTCTTATTTATATGTCCGAAGTATTTTAAAACAAAAGTTTTAGAGGTATTGGTTGTTTGTCAGCTCAGTAGTAAAACAGGCTGTGTGAGACCCTGGGTTTGACCCCCAGCAATACACACACACACACACACACACACACACACACACACACACACACACACTCACACGAAGAACAAACAAAAGAGGGTGTGTTAGACAGGGTGCCAATTGATTATGCATTGCATTATTTGAGGACAAATAGTATTCTTTCACACAACCTGAAAACCTGACTCACACACTTTCAAATCAATAACCTCCTCTTAAAAAGTAATAGCAGGTCTGTCTTTGTATTTGTAATTTGTCTAAACAAACACAGCTTTTCCTAAATAATTTGAGAAATAAAAATCACTATTCAACAAAGTCCATTTACTTGTTGCATTTATTTGTTTTGTTTCTTCAGGTTCTTTTTTTTTCCCCTAAAATGTTGCCCCCTTCCCCCCCCACCAGCCCACCCTGCCTTTTCACAATATTGAAAAATTTTCAAGTCTAGGTTACTGGCAAACCTTCTGTTTGTTTTTAGATGTGCATAATTAGGCTCGGTTTTACAGGCTCATTTCACAAAATCATTAAAGGTTTTTCAGTAGCACGTGTATCAACAACTGAAACAAATTCTCATTTTTGGCTATTAGTTACAATAAGACAACAGAGCTCCAGCCAGGCACCAGATGTTTTTGTTGAGGAGAAAGCATAAAGAGCATTAAGAGCTTTTTAAATCTTACACTTTCACTTTGGTCTTATAAGAAATAATTGTGACATCTCATGCTCGGAAATGTGTCACAGGAGCTTTCCCTCATATCGACACCACGCACTGCGGAAGGGACCTGCTTACGTATCTGCAGTTTAAACGACCTGAAAACTCAGTGACAGCCTGGGAGGATATTTTGAAGTTTGAAATGATCCCTATATAAATAGAACGGATCAGCATAACTTTGGGATAAAATTAGCCGGCAGTTTGTGGACTCTCCAGCTTTGCCTGTGTGCTGGGTGCTGCTCTCCTGATAAATCACTGCTCGGCTTCCTCATGGCACAGAGGATGGACAGCATCATTGCCCCTATCAGCAAACCTGGACCTACCAAGTTAGTTAAGAAAAATTTTCTGGAGGCTTTAAAGTCAAATGACTTCGAAAAACTGGAGGCTATTTTAACCCAGAGGCAAATAGATGTGGACACAGTATTTGAAGTTGAAGATGAGAACATGATTTTGGCATCCTACAAACAAGGTAAAAATTGTAGAGGTGTGATTGTGAAATTGTTATAAAACGATCTTTAAGTCAGTAGGTCAGTTTTTGTCTTCAAAGCAGTTGTTCTTATTGTTAGTGTCTGTTTAGAAATCGTTTCTAATTTTTATCTTTCCTTCCTTTTAAAACTAGAATGCATTTGGGCTGGTTTACATATTATACACACAGTTCTGTTTATGCACATTTCTGTTTACTGCTATTTTCCATTCTTGTGCCTGGAATTTGGGATCCTGGGTAGTTGTATTTGTCATGCACGGTGTGTTTAGGACTTCTCTTGTGTCCGTGGTGGTATAGAATAAAGAAAATGTCTCTGACTCTCGTTAAAGACTGCTGAGACCTCCGTGTGACAGCGTGGCTGTTGGGGGTCAGGCTGCTGAGCATTTGCTAACAGCCACTTATAGATATAGCATCTCTATGCCTGTGTGGATGAAAAAGAGGACTTTCTTTTCCACTTAGAGAGTTAATGAATGGAGAAAGCTGTGCCATAGGAACCTTCATGATCTGCATAATTTTGATGTGTTTCAGTGCAGGAACAAAAGCTGAAGTCAAAATACCACAAAGTTAACTTTTATTATTCTTTTCTGCTGGACTACAATAGTAGAACAAAAAATCTGAAGGGTTTAATTCAAAATCTCTGCTTTGTAAAAAAAAATTGGAAAACAAAAATTAGAACAGAAAAATTTTCATTAAGGTTTTGTTTTTTCTTTCTGGAATTCCTGCTTAATAAATCAGAAATAGATTAGCACATTCGTTCTGATTTCTCAAATCAACTCGTCAATGGGAAAACTTAAGTAGTTAGGCCATCTGGTATGCATATTGCAAGGAATTACTCTGTTCACCCTCATTTCTGTCTAAAGAAAATAGGTAGGGAATTCTTGGGAACAGAGGAAGGGATAGTTGTTTATGCTCATATATAGTCCTGTTTTCTAGTCCTACAAAGTGATTAGTGTCACTGATTTCCAGATACAAATGCTAGGTGCATTTATTTTTATCTAATTCTCTCCAGTTCTGGAGGACGCATAACATGGTTGAGGCCAGCTGCTGTATTTTTGTTTTGTGCTTTTTGATAAATTGTCATTGCTGTTTTGCCTGAAAATGAAGGTGTCTAATTTTTGTTTTTATAAAGTTGGAAGGATTCTGTTGAAGGAAAAAATTATAAGCTACATAATTAGATGGCTTGCACCTTGTGACTTTATTTAATGATGTTATCTGGATGCTAAGTATATTTTATAGAGATTAAAATCAACACACTCCTGTGTGTCCTACATACAATAGGACTCACACTCAAGCCAGGGGGTAACCAACTAAACAGTGAGCTGCAAAGCTCACCTTTGCTTATTTCCAAAGTACGTAAACCCTGCAGACAGCACAGGGCTCAGAAGTTCAGGGAAAGAGAACTTAGAGGTGTGTGTTCTTGGCAAGCCTGGTGTCATAACCCCCACAGGAGAAGAAACTGTTTCAAATTCTTCTTGTCAAAGTGAGCTAATTCCTGTGGCCCCCACGGAGTTAACGTTTTATTTATGCTGATGACTGTTTTCCTTCCTAACATTCAGGGTATGGGATGTGACTTTGAATCAGGGGTAGAAATTTAAACTGTCTCCAAAAGAAAGAGCCCAGTCTTGTGCCCGTGTCTGTTGGGAAATAACAGGACTTGGGTTTGAAGCTTCAGGGCTGTCCAAGAAAGCAGTGTGCGCGTTGTGCACACAGTGTGTTTAGAAATAACTTTACTGTGTTCACCTTGAATATGTAAGACTCTGCCTTCAGTCAGTCGTAAGCCTAAGGTAAAATTCCCACTTTCTTAAAAGTTACTTGAAACTTATTTTAGGTGCCTGCAGGCTTAATAGCAGCCCTTTCACCCTTAAGTGTAGGTATGGAAGCCATAAGTAGAACCCCAGTTTCTGGCCCAGTAAAGTAGATCTAAGTGGTGATATCAATGTCTTACCTCACAAAGGAATTCTCAGAACAGTGTGGGACCGAGCAGTTTACAACTGGGTAGCTAATTAGTCAGTAAGCTCCTTCTGGGGTTTGTCTAAAAGACGGGAACCACCTCTGTGTGGTTTTGAAGGACCTGTGGCTGGATTACTGTTTCTGATACTTGTTTTTTTATTAAGTAAAAGCAGACTTTTGGGATGTGTTACACTTTGATTTTTGTTTGTTTTTCTGTTTTAACTACACAGAAAGGCTGTACTCCTAAACAAGAAAAATCCACATGACACTCCTGTGCAGTTTGATTCACATTTACAAAAGAAAGGGAGAAGCTCCATCACCCGCAGAAAGGGAACACAGTTGTTTACTCTCGAAGAATGGGTATCTCCTGCTTAGGCATTCTTCAGGTGATAAAAGAAACAGCGTGTAATACAGGCAATGATATGGCCACCTGGAAACTTTCTTACACAGCAGAGAATATGATCTATAGTCAACAGTCGATTATCCTCTGAGGGCTTAGCTGGTCTGTAGATTATCCTCAGGGGGGTTAGCTGGTCTGCAATCAACCCTTAGGTAATTTTAGTTTCCTCTGAAACACACTACATCCTTTTCCACAGGATTTCAAAAAGTGGTTGAATTTGTTCCTAAAACACAGCATGTCCCGTCTAACGTCAAGATCAGCGCTTGAGAGCAGGAAGGGTAACTCAGAACTCCACTAGCAAAGACATGAACTTAGACTGTAAATACCCCTTGACTCTAATCTAACATGCTTTAAGTGCAGTCAGTAAAAGATGACCCCTAGAAGACTGTGAATTTTGTGAGGAGGGGTGAGGGGCGGTACTAGACCAGAGAGTTCTTTCCTTCTTGCGGTTCTGGGTCCTTCTCCTTGAAAAATCTCCAGCGCTGAAGGCCACATTTAAACCAGTCTCCACTGTAAATCTCAGTTTGTGCCAGGGGAGGAAGGTTACCTGGGCTTAACATCCATTCTTCAATTCAGATCTCCTTACGCCCCGTTCCTAGCTTTATCATGAAATCTTCAGATAAAATCCCGACTTGTTCACTTAAAAAGCCCCTCTTGTCTCACTTTGTAAAGCTAACCATCAAAATGCCCTGGCCTGCATTTGAGACAAGTCTCAGGGAACGGCAGGCAGAGCTGGGTGGTTTTAAACGTGTGGAAAACCAAACTATCGTCTACTGAACAATCACTTTGTTTTTAAGCGTTGATTTACTGCATGCAAGTGAGCCACGACATAGTGTGGAGATCAGGAGACACTTGGTGGTTCTCTCCTTCTACCACCTGAGTCACAAGGTTCAAACTCAGGTGCTCAGGCTTGGCGGCAAGCCCCACCTTGGCCATCTTGAAAGCCCCAGATAATCCCTTTAAAATACAATGGCACAAAGAAATCGTGAATACACAAGTGAATTTTTAACTATTAGACATGACTACCAGTTGAAAAGTTAAGGTACCATGTGACATAGTTTATTCTGAGACAAGTAGGAACTCTTTAGGGTAAAAGGGAAATTAAGGAGAAATCTCTAAGGCTCTCTGTCTGTCACTCTGGTTCCCACTGTTAGCCTCTGTACTGGAACCATGGGCAGTGTCTTTCAAGGCTGTTTTTAAAGCATATCCCAGCTACACACTTGGTTTTTTCTGCAAATGTATGTTTTGGCTCCCTACCGAGACAGGCAGAATATCAAATCAGTATCTCTGGTGTGAAACTCCCTAGTCAGCAAGGTTAATGAACACTCTTTATTAATCACTGTAATGCACTTTAGGTATTTCGTTTATGGCTCACAGCCTCCTCTGGTCTCTTGCATGGTAGTCATATTTTTAATTAAAATAACCAATGAATTTGTTTTCACTTGGAAAGTTTCTGGCAAGTAAGTACTCTGTCTACTTTGTTAAGTAGCAGCTGACGTCCAAAGTTATGAAAACTTTTTATTCTGAACAAATGATCTCTTTCTCACCTGCTTTCTCCTGGATTTAGAAAGTTACCTTCCTGTATTCCTACTATACCGGCCCAGGGGGCTTCCTCTCTCCTAACTGCTAGAAACTTGAAAACTTTGTATTCAGTTTTAAATCTCTTAAAAACTGTGTATTGCAAGCTTGCTTCCCTCTCCCATTATCTAGGGAGCCTCTGAGAGTTATCCTGAGAATATTAGCTATTAAAACAGTAGTCTAGAATTGCGCTTGGGTCTAAAATCTTTCAGGGCTGTGTAAATACGTGGACTTGGTCAAAGCAAATGTCTGCTAATCCCTGCGCAGCAGCGTGTGCGAGCTTTGGCGGCAGCCAGAAGCTTCTCCAGCATGGGGCTGGTTTTCCTTTGATAACATTAGCGCTGATAACTGTTGCGGAGCCTGGGCTTAGCTTTAGTTTAACCAGAGATGTGTGTCCTCTCCAAGCACTGGAGCCGAACCAACGCCCTTTTCCAAAAGTAGGCTGTAACCCTTCCCTCCTCGCCAAGTGAGTGAGGGGGCTTTCTGTCTAGCCTTGCAGACCTATGACTTCAGCTTCATGTTTAAACGAAACACTCAGACGTGTGCACACGAGGGTTCGTTCAGAACATTTTTGGGGGGAGGGGTAAGGGTGAAACTTCTAAAATTTCTTTAGAATTTTTAGATGTGTCAGGGGGAACTGAAGATCAGAGGCAACTTCTGACAGATTTTTCTTTTGAGGGGGGAGGGATTGAAGTTTGATAGTTAGAAATGTTTTTTTGTTACTTTTAAAGTTTTCTGCCTTACAGGTATATATGATAATGTTAAACATAATCTCCTCTTTCCCCATCCATTCTATCTTCCCCCCTCCTTTTTCTATCCACATTAATCTCTTTTGTTCCCCTGAACAAATTTATTTCTACCTCATTTAGTCTGTACACACACACACACACACACACACACACACACACACACACGCATGCACGCACACTACCTAGGGAGCACAAATGGGAGACAAGCATTTCATTTCTGAGACTGCTTTACTGAGATCATTTCCAGTTGTATCATCTTCTGCAAAAAAAAAATATAGCTTAATGTTCTCTTCTATGGCTGAAAGAAGGCTCCATGGTATCTACAAAAAAACTCACATTTTTTCCCTCACCTAAGTCTCCTGCTCTTGGCACACATCAGCCTGTCAAAGGACACTCGCCATGTTTATGACACCGCCACGTGCTACACCTGAGCTATGGAGCCAATGTGTCTAACAAGGAACTTAGAGAGTTTGGCTTCCACTACTAGTGGTTTCGTGAACTTGGATGCGTTCCACTGTTCTGTCTTTGTCCTCACTAAGTATTCTTCATGGAGGCTCTGCCAGGGCTCTAAGCGCCCTGCAAGCACATAGCATGTGATACAATTACGATAAGCCGCACAAGCAGATCACATAGGGTGGTGCGAGGAAGGGCGGGCGGCAATGAGGGCGAATGCTGCAGATCCCCGTGTGGATGGCCTGTGCCGGGGCTTCTGAGTGGGGTTTGTGGGTAGGGACTCGTGTTCTCGTCTCAGCCTCTTTTCAAGGGAACCCTTGGCTGAAGCCAGGCTTTCCTGGACAGGTACCCTTGTCTGCAGCTTGCATCCATGGGGGTATGAGTGGCTCTCCCCAGAGGGAGGCTGCACCTTCTTTACACCTCCCCTACCCCCCAAGAGCTTTGCCTTCCTCTCTCTAGCCTTCCCCTTGGGCAGTGTGAGCACACAGTTCAGTGGCAGCTGGCCTCTGCAGAAGTGCACAGAGCAGTACAGCCCAAAGGTAAACATTAAGAGTAAATCACATTCTAGGATTGGATGCCCCGGGAAGAGTGTGCTGTGAGAGAGAAGGCTAGTGTACACAGTGAGTTCACTTCACTTCCTTCTGGCATTCTGGGACCCTTGGTGTGTGTGTGTGTGTGTGTGTGTGTGTGTGTGTGTGTGTGTGTGCATGAGCGAATTCTGATCTTTTGACACATCAACATTAATAACAGAACATGAATTGGCACACATCGTCTTCAGTTTCGGAAGCTCACACGACCTCATATCTGTTGCTCCATAAGGATAAGTGTACGTATTTTCAGTCTTGCTAGAGAGCCTGGGCTGCAGCACGGTTTTAAGGGTCGACTCCTGGCTAGGGACTGTTCTTTTCTCTGCTCAGCTCAGCTGGCTTTCCCATTTTGCTATAGGCTGAGCTATCCAGACTCTCTCAACACCATCTCCAACTTTCCCACCCAAGTTATAAAGCACTGAGTAAAGGCAGAGGTAGCAGAGCCTGAGCCCACAGTCCCATCTGTCCCTCTAGGTGCTTTCTTGTCCCCCAAATACACAGATGCAATGCAAATGTGGATTTTTAGAAACAGTTCCACTTTGGGCTTGCTGAAATTCCAGGTCTGATGATCTGTGTGTCTGATTCCCCAGGTAACAGTTAAGAGTATAGGAGACACAAATGAACCTGACTTTTCTAAAGCCCAGGATGACTGACTGGTCCGTGTAATAAGTAAGCAAGGAAAATTCCATTGGTGCTGCTGGGAACTGAGGAAAAAGAAACACCATAAGCACCATAAACAAACAAATACATTTCCACACCAGCAACGTGGCATGTTTCACATGCACTGGGAGCATCTTCCTTTGTGAGTGTGTGTGTGTGTGTGTGTGTGTGTGTGTGTGTGTGTGAGAGAGAGAGAGAGACAGAGAGACAGAGACAGAGAGACAGAGATCTGTATCACAGAAGCCTGGGTTGGATGGTCTTCCCATCCTGTGTTTCTTTGGTTTTACGTGGTGTTTTCTTCACCAGCTCTCCGCTGTTTCTTCCAGGATGGTTGTTTTTTGTTTTTCTGTCCCAGGTGGGAGCAGGCATGGGTTTGCAATCAGTTGCAGCCTGATGGCACCTCATCTTTGCCACTAAAAAGCAGGCAAAGGACACTCTCGTTTTCAGGTCCACAACCAGCTCCTTTCTAAGCAACTAGAGAAACTGTCATTGCAGGTCGTTTGTTGAGGAATATTGAAAACAAGAAGTTGGAATGAACTGGGCATGGTGGAGTACGCCTATGGTCCCAGTGCTAAAAAGCTGAGGCAGGAGGATTGCTGTGAGTTCAAGGCCCACCTGGGCTACACAGTGAGACCCTCTTTCCAAAAGCTGCATCAGAAGAAAGGAGGAAGAATATTTTAAGCAGTGAAAATGATCAGTCTAAGATCTTAGTTTTTGGGACCATTCTCTTGACAAATTTGTGCCTCATTTGGGCACAGTTATATGTGTGACACATCCGGGCTCCTTGTTTGTTTTGGCTGCTTGGAACTTCAAAGACAATTTACGTTGCTGTTCTAGTGCCAGCACTGAATTTATAATTTGTTAAACTCTCTTACTTGTCATTTTCTCCCTTTGCCATTATTTTTGTAATCAGTTAAAAGAATACTGGATAAAAACGTGTGATTTGCCCCAAGTTTTTCTTTAGAAATAGATACTGGACATACCAACAGGCAGGCAAAATATTGGTGTGAGAAATTAAAATAAATTCAATGAAATCCCACACTGACGGACAACTGTGTGTGCAAGGATGAACAATGGAGATGAATAAAATTTATAACCTTGTAATTGATAACTTTGGAATGATACAAACTTAAAATGACTTGAAATAAAAAAAAACCTTTGTAGCGTAGCCTTTAAAATAAAATGCAATCACACCCATTGCAGTGTTAAGCTAAAGCACGTCTGAGGTCTAGGAAGCCAAAGAAAAAAGACCAGAGACCAGGAGCAGCAGAGTTCCATGGGAAGAGCTGGAGAAAACCTGACCCAGGGCAGTCCCAGAACAAGGCACGGGAGTCTTGTCAGCTGCCAGTAGCAAAGTCCTGGACCATTTTTCCCTTCAGTTTTATAGATGTGACCAAAATAAAACACCTCGTCAAAAAATCCCCACAGAACAGGGTGAGAGACGCTGGGACAAAAGTAAACTCCCTTTCCTTTCCTTTTCAGGCTATTGGCTGCCCAGTTATAAGCTGAAGTCTTCCTGGGCAACCGGCCTCCACCTCTCGGTCTTGTTTGGCCACGTGGAGTGTCTGACGGTACTGCTGGACCACAATGCCACCATCAACTGCCGGCCCAACGGGAAGACCCCTCTGCATGTGGCCTGTGAAATGGCCAACCTGGAATGTGTGAAAGTCCTCTGTGACCGTGGAGCCAAGCTCAACTGTTACTCCCTGAGTGGGCACACCGCTTTGCATTTCTGCACCACGCCAAGCTCCATCCTGTGCGCCAAGCAGTTGGTGATGCGCGGTAAGGCTTTCGGGGTGGCTGGTGTGTGTTTGTGCACACGTGGTGTGTTGTGTGTGTTCATGTGCACAGGGTTTGGGGACTTGCTCACCTCACCTTGCCCCAGGCAATGCGACAGGCATTCCAGTACCCTCAACCTGGTTCAGGGTCTGAGATCATTAAATGCAAGAGTACTTACATATTTCTTTTGTTGGTTTTATAGCGTGTGTGTGTGTGTGTGTGTGTGTGTGTGTGTATGTGTTGCCCACTGAGGTCATTCAGTGATGATCACACTGAATCGTAATGTTTCAAGAACTAATGAATCACAGCAAATCAAGAAGTGTATCAATTTTTAGCTACTTAACGTGCTCATTTAGTCCTAATTATGCATCACGTATTGTGGCGACAAAGAGAAAACAGTTTCTGCTCTCAACATATATATGTATAAATGTATACATGGACATATGTACATGTATAAGCATTTCCATAGCAGAGGATATAATATTAACAAAACAAACTTTAATTATAAAATGGGGGAAGAGCTATGAAGGAGAAAACATTATCTGTGTTAGGAGTGAACTATTTTAAAATGTTAAAGACTTCTCTGGGTCAAACATTTGTTGTTTGACAAATAGCATCCCATGTAGACTTGTAGGGCAGTTTGCACATTCCTTGGTCAAGGGCTTATCATCTTTGGAGAACCAAGGATGTAAGCACTTGCATGTAGATTACTATAGCTGAGCATACTTCTGTTTCCTTGTAATAAGTATCTAGGGGTGAGAAGATGGGATAGACGGTAGATTTGTAAGAACTGATACCCCGTTTCCCAAAGTGACTGGCCCATTTTGTATTTCCACTAGCAATGTGTGAAAACTCCAGGTGATTGCTATTCTTGAAAAAATTGATGAAGTAAGATATTAGCAAAAGAGTTTAGCTCTCTAATTAGTATGTAACAGCATCTATTGAGGTTTTAGTCTGAATTTCCTTAAGGATGCTGTGAATGTTATATGTTTATTTGACAGATCAACATCTAGAACTAGGGAAATATCTAGTTCTTTTGCTCCTTTTAAAACGAACGAGCTGCTTGCTGCTTGGTTATTCTGTATACAAGTCCTTTACCAGATCTGCAGTTTGCACACAATAGTATCATGTGTTTCTCTCTTCCTTTTCCTTTCTCTTTCTTTCACACTCCTTTTCCCTTCTTCCCATATTTCATTCCCTCCTCTTTCCCTTCCTTCCTTTTCCTTCCTTCCTTCCTTCCTTCTTTCCTTCCTTCCTTCCTTCCTTCCTTCCTCTCTCTTTCTCTCTGTCTCTGTCTTCATGACAAGAGCTCACTAACTAACTAATGCAGTCCTGGAATTTAAGAGTTTTAGCACTTGGGAGACTGAGACAGGAGGATGACAGGTTTCAGGCCAGTTCCAGCTATAAAGTCAATGAGAAATTCTCTGAAAAACAAAAGAAGCAGTAACATAAATAAAGAAGAATGAATCTAGACGGAGTCATGATAAATGCTAACATTTAAATAGCCAGCTTCCAAGGAGGAGCCAGTGAGGGGCAGTGGATAGAGGGACAGGGAGGTTCCAGACCTGAGACTGCTTCCAGTAAAACAGGACTAAGAAAGAGGTGAGTTTGAGAAGCAGGGGCTAGCCATGTACAGGGAAAGCTATCAAGATTAAATGAGGTATCCCTTAAATCAGGTGACAGGTTAACATTGATAAAACAAAACAGCAAAACTAAACACAACAAGAACTAGTTGATGAATGGTATTGAAGCCAGATTAGACTGGGTAGGGTGTAAATAAGTTTTTAGAAGTGAGTGTGCTGGTAACTGTTCAAAAAATTTTTGCCTGGAGAAGCAACAATAGTCTGATTGTGGTGGCAGGACAGGGGGAAGCCACAGGAGGCTGCTGTCTGCGGCTGGGTTGAAGGGGACTGCAGGGATGCCAAAGGAGAATTGCTGAGGATGGGCACTTTGGGTCTTCTTTACTAACCTTTCAAGGACCCAGTTTTCCAAAGCTGAGATGGGGTAAGGTCTGGAGATGACAGGACACACCTCCATTTTTAACAGGTTCATCATAAAAGATGCTTTCTAACTCTAGGGCAGATTTGGTGATGGTAAGGTAAGGCCATTCAAATCTGATGAGATCCCCCTCAACAATGCTGGGCAAAGTCATCAGCAAAAATGAGGGACAGAAGGAAGGGAAGACATCTACTCAAGAGATGTAGTAACACTACTGAAATCCTAGAAGGTGCTTCTAAAACTGTGGGAAGAAAGGGGGGGGGGCTCAACCTGGCTGCTGCTTCCTGAGGAGGGAGGAGGAGAAGGAGGAAGAGACAGAATGAGAGAGTGAGGACAAGGGTAAGACAGTGAGGAGAGAGAGACAGAGGAGTGACAGAGAAAGAGAACGTGAGAGAGGGGGAGAGAGAGGCAGAGAGAAAGAGACAGAGACAGAAAGAGAGAGATTTTATAGATCCATCCTCACTCATGTTAGATTGAGTTTTAAGTTTTCTCATATTTTAGTTAGTTTACACTTTTAGATTTCGTATCATTAGACATTATAGAGCTGCTACTCTGTTAGCGAGGGCAGAAGGAACACACAAGCAGTCTGCCTGGTCTCAAACACTCCGTTCCTATTTTTAAACAATTAGAATTTCATATAAGCATAGAATGAAATACGATGATGGACACCTGCTATTTTCTTCTCCTAAATCCCCCCAATTACCCAATTACCCCTACATATTCCCCTTTCAACTTCATCTTTTTCCCCCCTTCTTTATAAAATAATTCACTGAGCCTAATTAGTGCTTCCGTTTAAGCATGGTTGTGGGGCCATCTACTGGAGCCTCGCCGCCTAGCAGCTGCTGCATCGCCATGATTCTCTGCAGCTGTCATCTGCGGAGCGCTCTGTACCCAGGAGTGAGGCTCATCTCACACACTGGGAGGAATCTTGACAACACACACCAGCTTTAAGTTGGGAGCCCTACTTCTGGGATTAGAGACTCATTTTGGACAGGCAGGATTTTGATCCAGGGCTCCTATTTTTTTTCCCCAGCCTCAATTCAAACTTTAGCTGTCCCCTCCAAACAAGGCTATTCAGAGAGTTGGAGAGAACAGAAAAGGCAAGCTGAACACATTTAGCATGAGCTTAGGACTGGGCTTGGTCACACCCTGCAGGTCTTCAGAGCAGTATAGCCCTCACACATCCACTTGTTATGACCGAGGAAGGAAACCATTTAAAACAATTTGCAGACTGTATGCTTTACACACACATGTACACATGTACACACACACATATCTTTACAAATATATACATATGTAAAATCTTAAACATCTGATCTATGTTCACTACCATAAACTCATGTATATTACTGAAAATTAAAAATACTTGTCTACATAATAGAACATTTTGTTATGCTGTCTGCATCCCATGTACACATTAAACAATATACATAAAAGTGTTTATTTATATGGACAGGTTTCAGTTATTTATTTAGGGTCTCACATTGCAGCTCTGGCTGGCCTGGCACTCAGTCTGAGGTAGCCTCCAATCTGTAGGAACCCTTTTTCTTAGTCTCTTGAGTGCTCAGACTACAGGCATAGGCTGCCTGATTTAGCTAATGTTTAAAGACTTTTAAATAGTCTTTTGTAGGAGAGTATGAACTGTACAGACATATTTTTCTAAAAGTTGCGTGTGACTACGTGTATCAGGAATTAATATCTAAGTTACTCATCAAACATTATCAAAGCTAATACTTAATAGTATCTAACTTTTTGCAATTTTTGTTTACTCTGTGCGTGCATGCGTGTGTTTGTGTGTGTGCACGCGCGTGCACATACCTGCTGGTGTGCATGAGTGCACGTGTGTGCACACACACACATTCCATATTGTTATTGAGTAGAATTCAGAGAGCAACTTTGGGAGGTCAGTTGTCTCCTTCCATCATTCAGGGGTATCATGTACCTGTTGAACCATCTCTCTGGCTCCTAGGTAATTTTTTTAAAGACACCTCTATAAGTTAAGAACCTTGGTTTCTAGACTTTTTTTAAAGATAGGGTCTCAGGTAACCCAGGCTGCCCTCTGACTTAGTATGGAACCCAGAATGACCTTGAACTTCCGTTTCCCCTGCCTCTGCCACGGAGTTCCGAGATTGCAGGTGTGTGGGTTTATGTAATTCTGGGCCTTATGCAACCATTTTGCCCCCTGAGCGTTAGCTCTAGCTCTCTCTACCTATTTTGAAGGATGACACCTGGCAAATAGGAACCAACAGAAACACAAAGTTGCAAATGAAATAATGGGGGAGGCTTTGTTTTTTGTCTTTTGTTTGTTTTGTTTACCATTTCTTTGAATGAAGGAAAATCAGGTAAATGCTGGTGGGCCAGTCCTCTAGTCTGGAGATTCTCGAAGACAGAGGAACCTGCCTGCCCTCCTGAGCACGTTTACGTCCGCGGTCCCAGGGGGCAGCACTTGCCAACAGCTCCAGGAGCCCTGAGTTCACGGCTGGCTCTACCAGAGAATTTGTGCCAGCTGCCATGTTTACAGGTAAAGAAGGGAAGCCTCTGGTCAGTTTCACACCCCTGGTCTCCAGGGAATTCAGCTGAGGGCTGAATTCTGTCTTCCCGAGATTAGGTTGTAGGCATTTTGGGGAAGAAGTCACATACATCTCTTCATGACTGGACAGAGGGAATCCAGACAACACACAAACAGGGAAAATAAGCCAGGCTAACATGAAACTCAGGACCAGAGAAGTCCATTAGAGAAAGAGCCAATACCATGGCAACTGAAAACCCAGGTAATTTCATTTGCTAGTTAATGGACTCTTTGTGGGAAAGTGCTCTTTGTGGAAAAAGCTAATTGAGTCCAAAAAATTGCATGCAATTTTCTCGTGAAGGATTTTGTCCTGTTTTTCACTGTTGGGAGCTGCCTTTGTCCCGTGCTGGATTTTGCCTGCTATTTTTCTGTTTGCCTTTCTCCTTAATGCCGCCATCTTCTGGCCTTTGTTTCCTTTGGTATTAGTATAATGGTG